GCACTGTCACTCTTTCGTCGCATTCCGGGATGGAAGCTCGTACATGAAATCATGATCGACACTCGCCGGTCATAAAAATCAACAGTCTTTGATGAGTTACAGATCATAGGTCGATCAGAAAAGAATGTATTCTTCGATTCTACAGGGTTCAGGTTCGCCAGTCAGTCAAGTCTACTTCCCCCCAAAATATGTAGGTCAGACGATCCCATTATAGTGTGGCCAGGGGGGTTCAGTAACACGGCACACAAAACAATAGGCTGGTTTCGGTCGTGTGGAGTTATGATCATAAAAACAAGCTCTTAGGTCTTACATAATTGCAGTGAATAAACAGTAGTTTGTTTCTTTGGACCGAATATTTTTTATGTTGCACTGTTAAAAAAATAGGAACGGCACCTACCACTCCCTTCACAGGCGAGTTCAATTCGCCTCTTGTCCTATGCCGGATTACGCAGTGTCTTCCGCAGGACGAGGAAGTTCGGTATTAAATCGGTTATGGTAGAATGGAAATAAACATACGCGTGAGGTTTCAAATGATTAATTTAGAGACTATCAATTCGGTCTAACATTCATCTAATTTCCAAACACAGTATGTTTATCTCCTAATTATCCTAATTGCCACAGTAAGGGATGTGCTTACAACAAAACAAAAAGTCCTAAAACAAGAAGGGTTGGGTAACTTACCTAAACGTAGACATTCCCTTAATCAGAATGATATTGACACATTATGGAAATCCGGTGAACTCAGCCTACACAATCCAGGATCCATGTTGAACACTCTTTGGTGGCTAAACACAACACATTTTGGTTTGACAAGCGTAACTCCCCACAGAAATATGCACTGGGGAGATATTACACTAAACTGCGACTCCAACGGCAGGGAATTCTTGGAATTCAAGGAGAGGCAAACCAAGACACGTACAGGTGTTGACATCAGAAATGTACGAACTGTCACTCCTAAAACTTGGGCCTCTGGTGACCAGCGATGCCCAGTAAATGCTTACAAGCGCTATTCACCGCTTCGTCCGGCTGGGTTTAGTTCAGCTGATACCCTATTCTACTTGGCGACAAACAGTACAACCCCAACCGAAAACCATCCTTGGTTCAAACGTCAGCCTGTAGGGCTAAACAAACTTGGTTCAATCATGAAACGCATGGCCTTCAATGCCAAATTAGATTCCAAACGTTTGACCAACCACTCGGCCAGAAAATACAAACTCTGTCTGACAAAGCATCTCAGCAAATCAAATCATGCAATTCAGTGGTCATAAGAATGTGCAGAGTATTAAAAATTATTCACACGTTTCTGAAGATCAACATCGTCAAATCAGTGACATGTTGAACAGACCAGCTGAGGCGGGATGCACCGTTGACTTTGTACCAGCTCGGCGCGATGTTTCAAATGTGGCGCATAGTGCAAATTTAAACACTGTCAATGCCAGCCCCAAACCCAGTCTCTTGGTCCGATCTTTGCAGGGCCTATAAACAATTCAGTAATTCACGTAAATTTTCATTCAGCTTAAATCCTCTATCTGTGTGTTTGCATGCTTTGAACTCTCTCGTGCGATGTAACCATGCTTCTTTGAGGCGATTAACTCTACATGTGACTTTGAAAGTTTGAGACACACCGCATTCAAAAATGATCCGGCATGGAGTAAAACTTTGGTATTTACATATTTACATCTTGTTGTTCTTGATCTAATTTCACTGTTGTTATTTTTTATCGTATTTATTTACTTTGAAATAAATGAAATGACAGCGACAATCATAATGTATCAATACGCGTGACCTAGTTGTGCGGACGTGATGCACTCGTTGATTTCCTAGTTAAGAAGTACTTTGCTCGATATTATTTTGCTGATGTTGGGTGAGTAATAAATAAAATACTAAACTTTGTCCCGTGTAATTCATTATCTCAACCTCCATGACACACGTAATAGTTGGTGCCATTTTCATGGCGGGAATACCACTCTGTCCTATCGACAGATAATCGATATATTCTTCAGCAAGCAGAGAGTGGATGTGACATTCCAAGATGGATGAGTGCATTACTAAATTAACAGACAATAACGACCCTAATTTACTCATAAAAAGCGAGAAACGACACCAAATGATTTGACACTTTTGTTACAAGGAAATGTACAGTGGAATAGCAATATTTCCAAATCCCACTCAGTTTTCCCGATGCCGTAGGAGCTTCCGCGCCAGTCTTTAATGTCAATCAAAACACTGTTTTACAATGAATACAACACTGTTTGACAATGAGGACAACACTGCTTTACAATGAATACAACACTGACGAATGTTCAGAAGTTGTCCCTCTTGGATGGCATCGAAGAGGACTGACGTCCTGCTTGATTCAAAGAATCCGTCTGATTGAAACAAGTTGAAACTGATGGTATCATGCTGCCCAGGAAGACAGGTTGTATTTAGACGGCAGGGCGGCCTCTAATCATCCTTCCTTTCCCTGCTAGAAACTACTTGAAGGTACCCATAGTTGTGGAGTTTACAAAACAGAGAGTAAACAGGCAAACCACGGGAGGTAACTCTTTGTATCTCCTCACAGTCGGATGGAAGCAAGAATCATCAGAGGTAATGTTGGGAATATTATACAGACGCTTCTATCAATTTGCCACACTCATAAGATATGCTCTCAATTAAATATTAACAGCCATATAATTAACGATTGTAACGTTATCACCGACTACAACAGATGGAATTTATCGTAATACCTTTAAGCAACTCTCTGTTTTATAAACATTTCCTTTCAACATGTAGGTGCCTATATGTTATGAGTGGTTTAAGCACACATGATTCGAAGCTGAAGTCATTGAGAGGCGGGGCAAAGGTAATGGATATAGATATGTTGACGTTGCTCCCTTCTACATAGACACACGAGTGTGGACTCATTAGAATATTGTACCTATTGATGTTGTTCGCTTTCATAAAGACCTTTAACACACGAGCAGGGGCTCTTTAAGATGTAGCTATTCTTGGGATCATATGCAGAATGATTCGGATGTGGACAGCCCATCGAACATTTATGGGATGCTATTGATCAACGTCTGCGATCATGTCAGAAACAGCAACATGATTTCCTACAGTTGACACAACTAGCGCAAGAGGAGTGGGTGAACATTCCCCAGGCAACAGTTCGTAATCTGATTGGTTCCATGGGACGACGGAGCCAGTTCTGGACTCTCCATACACGATAGTGAGAACAGACGACTTTCACCTTGACGTTTGATTGTTTCATGTGCTTTAATGAACCACAGTCAAATTTTAACAATTTATTTTGATAATCCGTCGATCTGTATATATACATAAAGCATACACGTGAAAAAACCCCAACTTTTTGTGTGCGATTCTGAGTACTAATTCATTCTGTGTAATATTCATCAAAATTATTTCCCGTTAAAGATGCGGTGTATGTACCTTGATAAAACGTTGTGATGTCAATAAGATTTTAGCATGTTTCCCCAACCGATGTGAAAGTGTAGTCACTGTGCATTCAATGAGAGCATATACTCCATGTGGACTATGGTCATTCAACAGATAGTCTTACCTCATCTCTCTTAACTACATATGTACATTGTATTAAAGGTCACGTGTCCTGTCGTGTTTTTTTGTGGAATTAAAACTAATTTTGAATAGCATCTATTCTAACCTACCGGGCAAAAACAGTTGCCACTTTTAAAGTAATTGTGTAATAAACCCACACGCTGGTACAGGTGTAAACCCAAGCCGAAAATATTCGCCTAAACGCAACGTGGCACCAACGAAGCTGTCCGAAAACTTCGTACGAATCGTGCATTTTTCAAAATGTAATTGTGAGACATTGGTGAAAAACGTAGTTGTGGGGCATTGGTCCAAATGCACATGACGTGTCCTAAATACCAATGTTGGACAGGGCAAGCACGTAGGAACCAAAACACATCACGAATATGCCATGGCTTACGCAAGCGCAACGAGACAGGTCGATTGATATGGCCAATATGGAGGTTTAACAACGTCAGTTTGTATGGGTCTTCAACGGCAGCCAGGCCACCATCAGCAAATTGATAAACCACCAGCAAACAGGTCAGACCCAAGGCCGCCCAAGACAGGGAAAACCAAGAGTCACGACACCGGACGAAGATTGCTACATCCGGCAGATCCACCTCCGGAAAAAAATTCGTGACAGTGACTTGGACACGTCATCAGCAGACGACTGGTTATCATCCGAGGAAATTTAAATGCCCAGCGATACAGAGATGAAGTGTTGAGAGCTTTTGTGGTGCCTCTATTAAGAAATAGCCTAGACGAGTAATTTTGCAGCACGACAACGCAAGGCATTAGACCCCCAGAATTGCTAGAGAATACCTGCACAACGTTAACCTCAACGTATCGCCTTGGCCAGCGCTTTGAACATCTACAGGATCATCTTGATCGTCAGCTGGGACAGCGTGTATCACCTCCAACGAGCCGACAGGAACTTGAAAAGACCCCTTAAGACATTTGGAACAGGGTTTCTGCTGACGTCATCCACCGACTGACGACGTCAATGAGGAGACGTGTGTTGGCGTGTATGGATGCCCTGGGTGGCCACACTCGCTATTGATGACGTGTCCACTGACTTCTTTCTCATCAAGTGACTCTTTATTCACTTTTTTAATGAACTCTGATTTGGGTAATCTTTTATTTTGACTCCTAGACTATTTCATAATGAATTGCGGCAAATGCAAGACCAGTATTTCAATACATCTTCAGTCAAATTATTGGACAATGATTTCTGTTTGTAAAATAATTACCTTATACATCACATACGTCTTTGTTTCTATTTTGTGGTCAAGTGACGTCGGACTTTCGCTTGTCCGGTAGTTTAGATGTGCTGGAGGTAACTATTGCCTTACTTGGGATTTATGTGTGTATTGTTATATGTTCCATTGGACTTCATTTAAGTGAGCAAGTCCTTAAAGAAGACGTAGGAATAATGTGGAATGATACAAACAGCGTTGAGTAACTTGTGTGTTACAACGTTTATTACAGAAGCAGGGAATAAAAAGAATAATACAATAAAAAGAAAGAAAGAATAATATAATATAATATAAAAACACAACGTGATATGCTAAAGAACATGATACTATCTTGTTCACATAACTGAATGGTGTGCTTCCCTAACGTCAAGTTTTACAACAGTTTTTGTACAAAAGCACACTTCTCACTGCTGAGTGCTTTACTCGAGCCTTCATTATGAATATACCTAGTTTATGTAGACAACGGAGTATTGCTGACGTTATAAATACAATATCAAATGTTCACACTGTCAATACCTTCATTGAACATAAACTAAACATAAAGAATCACATGTTATTTATATAACCATAAATGAAACGGGTTTTCACCTTAAAGAAGAAATATACATAATGTAGATACAGTTGCCGTGGAGCAACCTGCCCGTGTATATTGAAGCAGAAGCAGAGTGAGTTGGAGAGCAACGGCAACTACCACCCCCAAGTATTTAAACAAAAACTGTCTTGACAGCATTACGTTCACTCTGAAATCCACTTGCAATGCTTTTCAGAATTAACAACCAAGAACATATCGTATCCCTTTAACCAGTAACGTTCCACAGCTCCATGAGAGCATCGGTTATTCCTATACACAAAAGGTCAATGTAAGTGAATGTACTAATCATTGTACAGGTAGCATTGCAGAAAGTGAGCAAGTGAGTGAATATGGTTTTACGCCGCTTTCAGCAATATTCCAGAAATTGGCTTCACACATTGTACCTATTGTAGAAAGGGTCACCCCCATGGTTATTTGTGTGAGGAGTTTCCGTTCCTCAAGGAAATCCTCTTTTAGGCAGTAGTGTATGTATATGTAAATCTTTTTGATATCACTTCACTTTGGTTCTTGCAGTTACATACTGGATCATTTGATCTTCTAAAGACTGTAGGGGCATTAGGGACATTGGGGCAATGAGGAGTACACGTCATGCACGCCGTCAGTATCTTCGTACACTGGGATGAATGGAGACTTGTACAAAAACATAAACACTATCAGAGAATGGTCTGCGATAACGCTACTAGGTTTTCCGTACTAGTCTCAACTTATAAATTGAAATACTCTTTGAAATTGAAACTCATCAAAGCAAGGAAAGCAATGATGTCATTTGCTGGTCATCATATGCTGCAACATACTTAATACCTAGTAATGTAGGAGTTTGGAAATCTGACCAGAAGTTAGTTAATCCGTAAGTTTGTTTACAGAAATGAGATTAGGACATAAACTTCATATCAATTTTGGAATCAGATTCTGTCAGGTAATACATCCCTGCCTCAGACAGGTTTGAAACGATGTAAATTCACATAAAATTGGCAGATTAATTTCAGTTACCCATCGTACTCCTTGTGAAATAAAATATGCAATGTATTGCCAAATAACACGAAAACAAGGAAACAGAGAAATAATCTCGTCGTAGAAGTTTTTACATTTAATTAGCCAACAGTGTCATATAATTTACATTTCTACTGATATTCTAATGAGTATACTACTGCTTAGTACAGCGGCCAAAGACTGGGAAAATCACATAAACCCCCTTCAGTGACTGAAAGCAAAGTGAAATTTTACCCAGAAAGTAGTTTAGACTGGCATGAACGTGACTTTAACATCCTTGGTATATATCTCAACCCTAATTTGGAAAATGTATGGGTAATCAATACTAGAAAAAAAGCAATCAACAATGGAAAATTATAGTCTTAGAAATACTGGCAATAACTACAGTCTTAGAAACACTGGCAATATCAACTTTAGTACATATGTTTTCTTCTGTATTACCATTACCCCTAAAGAATTTCTGTGGGATTATAAGAAGGTTAGACTAAAGAGAACAACAATATGTAAAGAGTATGAAGAAGGTGGACTAAGACTGATACATATTAGATCCTTCATAAATGCATTAAAATTATCTTTTAGCTGCAGGGGATACATATTATAAACAACAAGCAGTACAAACCTGTCAAACAGAAGAAATATTGGCTGAACCTTTGTGGTTGAATCACCAGTTTAGAAATAGCTAGTAGTTTCTTTTTTTGGTTTAAAAAAGGTATATACACAATAACAGATATCAGGGGTGATAATGTTGTTTGTTTTGTTTTTTGTGTCTTTTAATGAATTAAAGAATCTGAATCACAGTAATGGAAAGTTTTAGGGTACAATAGAATTATGCTTAATATCCCCCAAACATGGAAAACCACCCTATTTTCCAATTCAGCTAACAATCAAAGTCTCCCATTAAACGCACCTCTTCAAGATCTTCTTTCTCTAAAGAACGGAAGTAGAAATTACTATGACAAAACAATTGTTAGTGTCGCGCTCTTGTCTAAAATGGCAGAATGAACTTAGTGTAGACATTTCATGGAATATCGTCTTTACAAAACACAGAAAATGCACGAAGGATGTAAAACTGTTAGATTTTCAAGATACGTTTATAAACCCTGGAGCAAACCAACTGACCTCTAAATGAACAGTTTTATCTGCCATCTATTCGATCATATGTGTAGAGATTGTAATAATGATACATTCGAAGGTCGTGGGTTATCTCTGTCACACATAAGCTTTATGTACACCGGCACCTCCTCTTTAGCCTTGTGAAGCTGCTGGTTCATCATCATAGTTCCCTGGGATCTGCTCAAACAAATGATTTCAGAGAATGGTCATGCAGTTGAGCAACGGGGAATATTAATATTGAAACTGTATAACAGAAATTAAGCTACGGGTGTGATAGTTTAAGAGTAACAATGGATGGAATGTCTTCATTGTCAAAACATGACACGAGCATTATCATAACCCAAATCACCTCGGCATCAGGAAATCTTCGTTTGAAACTGCGGGCAATAGCTTTCTCGAATGTTTTCTCCTTTGAGTAGATAACCACTGTACGTTCTTGAAAGTTTTGAGGAAGCATCTGGGATATCTGTAAAATATATATAAATATTTCATCGATGATATTCAAGTATTAATCTATGAGCAATTACTGAATGTTTGATTGCATATTGTTAGGAGTGTATTAGGTGATTCTTTCAACACGCTTAGATTAAAACTCAGAATTCTGTATGTACCGAACTAAATTGTGGAATGACCCTTTAGTTGAGGAATTAGTGTTGGAAAGGGGCAGACACGCAAATTAATTCCAATTGGTATCCTGTCCGTGAAGAGCAACTCAGAAGTAGCATTGTGGGGTCCAACAGCCAGCATTAATAATGGCAGCATGGAATAATGTCGTCTTCACACAGCTGTCAAGGCAGAAGGTAAAATGCTAATAGCACATACGATCGCGGTACCGTGATCTCAACATGCATTTTACAAGCTCCTCAATAATGGTCAGCAATAAACATAAACAATGACACAAAACAAATGCACATAGCTAGTAACACAGACAACCTTCAAAATATAAAGTGGTACATCTTGAAATTTAACTAGAACCTATGTATTAAAGTATTTAAAGTATCCAATTTCAGGTATACCCACCTGACGTGGCAATGGGAGATCATATAAATCTTAGGTAAGAATAGTAAAGAGTTTCCATACCTTTTTCTGCGGGAGGTTGATGGCCTCGTCCACGTTTTCTTTTCTATAAAACCAGACATCGCTTACTGGGTCCTTTTTCTTCTTTCCATAATCGAAAGACATCACCTATAAGAATACATAACCATACATATTATAACGCATCTGTTTATTGGCATACTAACACCTGTAGAAGGAGTCACGGAGAGCACGATGTTGCATTAGTGTTGTGTAAGTATTATTGTTATTTACCGATGACAGTGAATACAGGATGCGCCTGAAAGCAAGAGTACTGAACGCAAAAATGCTGGTGTCCTTCACTGGGTTCTGTCTCATACACATGAATATGTGGAAATAATTATCCAAACAAACATATTTATGCTGCAGGGGTCGTTATCGGCGCGAGTACTACAGATATGTACCCCAGGTACTTTTCTGTATACAGAAACGTACGCTAGCTAATGCTGGAAAAAGGGTTTGATATAGAAATAGTAGAGGATTAAATTCGGCTTATTAGTGATAGGTGCATATAGTTTAATATTCTTTGTGGAATGGGACGTATCGTAATTTAGACTCAGTGGGAAATTTGCTTTGAGTTTTGTTTACTAAAGGTTACTTTTAGTATCTGAAATACCACTTTTACCTTCGATTTGGCAATGCAATTCCTTAGAATTATCCTTTGGTTGTTGTCTACAGTTGCGGCACGCTCTGCCATGTCGTACTTGGTTTGCCGTCGCCCGGCATGCTTTTTGCTACGAGTCTCGAGTGCGGTATGGTAGAGCACTCGTGACTGGTTGGTTGATTCCATTGGGGCCAATGGACAACGGGGTAGCTATTCGGCCAGGGTTAAAGGTTAGCTCACGGGGTATATAAGGGCCTGAACAGAAATATCTTGCTTTAGGACACCCTGACACATTTGTAAGTCAACAACGGGAGGTCTTCCTCCTTTCCCTTGTTGTTATTTATTTCAGTGTATTTTACGTAGGATGTTAGTGTGGCAGACTCAAATAGTATATATCAAAAAAGAAACTACACAAAATGTAATTTGAAAAAATAATGAATAATTTTATTCTGATGATACATCTATAAATCCGAAATTGGACCCCTATCTTTCGACTCTAGAAAAACGTTAGCAAAACCCACTCAAACCCATCCATTCCTCGTTCAAATGACGTGAGTGCCAAATCAGGTTTTGCACGTGCAGTCGATCACGTGATCTTCGCATCGAAGTTTTTCTTCATATGCACGTGTTTGCATCGGCCTCAAGAATTGAAAAAACACTTTTAAACCACAGTTCTAAGGGTACTTGAAATGCCACGATTGTCAAATGTGCAACGTGAACGTGCCGTTGGCATGCTACAAGCGGGAAGATCAGTTATTGACGTCCCAAGAGCAATGGTGTGCAGCCGTCGTACTGTGTATGACTTGCGAGGTCGTCTACAACAAACTGAACTGACACCACTTCTGATCACCCAAGGTCGGGTCGTCCACGTGTGACGTCACGAGCAGAAGACAGTCAAATCGTCCTACGTCACCTACGTGACAGATTTCTGCCTGCTACACGAACCAGGGTTGAGATGTTTAGAGGTCGACTGTCCTCAAAAACCATTCGAAATCGGTTGCAGGCTGCCAATCTCCATTCTCGACGTCCATATCGTGGGCCAATACTGACGCCGTTTCATCAACGTCAACGTCTGCTGTTGGCCCAACCTCACCTCCGATGGACCCAGAGAGACTGGAATCAAGTCGTCTTTAGCGATGAATCCAGGTTTACCCTCGCGGACGGCAGGCATAGAGTCTGGAGACGACGTCGTGAACGGTATGCCCAATGCTGTGTACAGGAAGTCGACAGATTCGGGGGCGGAAGTTGCATGGTGTGGGGTGATTTCTGTGGGAACAACCGTTCCCGACTTCTGGTCATCCGTGGAAACCTCACATCTGCTGCTTACCGCGACCAGGTGCTCACCCCTGAACTCGTTCCTTTCATGGCGGCTCATGGCCAAGGTCTACAGTTCCAGCATGATAATGCTCGTCCGATGTTGACACGAAATTTCCTTCAAAACTCTGGAATTAACGTCATGGACTGGCCATCGAGGTCCCCTGACCTTAATCCAATAGAGCACGTTTGGGATGCACTTGGGAGGAGGCTTCGTGGTCTTAAGAACCAACCTCAGGAACTTTGCAGGAACTTGGCGCTTCCTTGCAAGAGCAATGACGCAGAATCCCCAACCACGTGTTCACAAGCATCAGGCAGTCGATGAGGAGGCGGTGTTTGACAGTGGTGAATGCGCGGGGCGTCCATACACGATATTGAACTGAGAAATTTCGCATTTTTATTCTTGTGACTTGACATTCTGTATACCCATGTTTTGGAACGGCGGTGTAGCCTAATGGAACTGATTATGGCACTGTCAGTGTATCGAGTACATCACACAGATCTCAGCAATGAAATAATAACAATTTCACCATCTTACCATCTCTTGTTCTTTTATAGTGCCCTGAAGAAAGAATGTGAAATTTCTTTTTTGACTCAGTATATGTACATAGGGTTTAGTTAGGAAGATTATATTAAGTATCAAGGTGGATGGCATTGTTTCCACTTAATGACTCACTCTATGAAACAATAAGAACATCTGTAGGAATCTTAGTTATGTTTTATACTTTATTTTACTCTTAGTCCATAGCTCTGCATAGTAAGCCTTGTAACACTCAGTCTAACCTCCACTAATTGTCACACTGCATGCTTTCAACACTCTTTGCTCCAGCTCTCGGTCATTTTTATTGTTTTACTGATAGGCCAAGCTGGCCACAGCTTAACTACAATGTTCAGATTTTAAACTCAGATGCCGCCTTGTACTGTTGAAGGAGAGATATAGCCAGAGTCATGGGAATTTTATGACGATTTAAGGCTGGTTCATATTGTATAAAATGTTGTATATATGGACAGTTTCTTGTTTACTATAATTAGAAATATAATTTATTGTTGCATGTAAGTCAGATTTGGTTTACTTGAAATATAATATATCTTATAAATATGTATAGTTGAAGATGAACTATCAGATCACTGTATTATTGTGAGCATATGTATTGTTTATGTATATCAACTAATTATTAGACAACTTATAAAAGTAATTACTAGTCCGCTTGAATGCATGCCCGTATGTTTGATATGTGTGATTGATTGACACATATATGTAATATTACATGTGATTTCATGTTTTATTTGTGTGGCGAATGCAACTGTACTTTTAAACATTATTTTATATCATATCAAGGCAGAAGGCATATATCTTGTATATATATATTGTTCTCTGCATACGTACGTATTTGTTATGCAGATCTGTGAGTGTGATCATTCAGAAGAATATCCTCCATTATGATCAGCTGGGGGCAACCAACCTGGTATGTAATACCTGACCAGATTCCCTATATACCAGAAATGTATTTACTGTAATATTTTCTAAAGATACCTACAGTATGTCTTTATGATCGTTGTATATTTGTACTAATATTATGTAACATTATATCTCGTAACATATTTAACTAGGTGTATCTTGTAGACTTAATGATTGATTTGAACATGTACCTATTTATGTGATTCCATTTAATATACTTTCTTATATGTTCTTTCAGGCTGTTTAATAAATAGACCAGAAATAAACGTATCGGCCTCACAACCCACAGCCGTTTGTATTCTTTAACGGACGCAAACAAGGCGCTGTTATATTAGTTTAGACCGCAGTTAACGGATTTGGGGAAAATGTAGTTGTAGGACAGAGTAGGGTTTCATTTTGTAGGAATATTTTTAAGATAAGATAAGATACTTGGGTTTGACTAATAAAGATTTCCTTGTGTGTGAGAGAGACACAGGCGTTGTATAGGGAGGGGTTGAGCAGAAAAAAAGACGGCCGTTTTGTTATTATGACGTCATCAACCCCTGGTCTCGTGTTTGAGTCTATATTAGACTATGACTCTAATGTCTAATATTAATTCTGCGTTGAAAGTTCAATAAAAGATATGAGGTTTGCTGTGTGAACCCAACTCTCGAGTCAGCAAGTCAAACTCATTTCACTCTTATTCATAAAATAATTGAATAATAATCACAGACCACTAAGGTCAACCTAAAGGTCACACACCTGGGCCGGAAGGGGACTCATCCAAAAGGGGTGTGTGCTTAAGGGTTCAAAACACACTCTCAAAATCGTTAAGGTCACAAGAAGGTCTTTCTTTGTGCTCAACCCCTCCCTATAGGTAACTTTAGGTAATGCTTTCCACCACCATAGAACAATAACTAAGGTTCATAGAAAGGTTCCGGTTTCTAAGATCTATAAAAAAATTACACAACGCAAAGCCCATTACAGAGACCGTATAAAATCATTGGACCCTCGTACTATATAAACCGTACTGTCACTGGGCGACCTACCTTGGTGGAGGGCCTATCACTCTAATATCAGAATGCAGAAACCGACAAAAAGGGCGGGTTCATTCCTCATTTTCCTGATCGGAACTGTCATACTGTTTAATTAGATGCATTAGATTAATGAATGTTTTGCGACACACAATACCGCTCTTAAACAATTGAATGGGAACATACATATGGTTTTAGGTTGCGGAATATGGAATTGTCCCCGTTTAGGGTACCGGGAATGTTTCTGCATTTTGACTTTGGTTACTTTGTGAACTGGGGTACATAACTGTGATGCATGGACCCCTTCAGCCATATTTAAATATCATGATGATGATGACTGTTAGCCAAAAGACAGAGACCATAAATGTGTCCACGATTTACATCAGTTACAGCTGTGAATGGACTATGGTGAATGCTAGGTGGGAGACTGTACAAAGATAATAATATAATCACAAAGCGAACTCAATAGGGTTAATGTAGAAAGGTCACAATAATTACTTGCTCTGAAACGCTTCTAAATGCCTTTAAAAAGCTACAATCCGAGAAACAGGATTCACCCCAAAAATACTTTGTTAAATCTACAGTAGTATGAAATAACTTCCTCACCATCGGTGAACACCAGCTGCCGTCACTACATTTCCACAAGTACCAAAACCAATCATTGTCTGGAGACAACGTCAAGACTTTCACAGATACTGCCATTAATTATAAAATATACACGTGCTACGTTACTGCTTTCTTGCGATTTGAGAAATTCAAACATTGAGTGTAAGTTGTACTTGCAACAATTTCAAAGTATTTTTCATTGAGGTTCTTCTTTACTTCCTCTGTGATTTCCTCATTTGTCTGTTCAATGTCCAGCTGAAAAGAATATAGTGAACTGTAACAGTTGTTCCTCATACACATAAACTCGAAACCTAGACACAGGTTCTGCAAGTACGGCATGTACCTACAACTTTGGTTCAGCATACAGATTTTCTGAAGCTTCGTCAAACTATTGTGATTCTTACTGTGACACATACATGAAGCATTAGTCTCATAGGGTTAACGTAAAAAAACAACAATAATTATTAGCTCTGAAACGCTAACATAATTAAAATTGTGATAACAGAATTAGCTCTGAAACGTCGCATAAACGATGGAAAAAGGTTGTTATCCATATCATGTTTTTACGTTTGTCCAACTTCTAAATGCCTTTACAAACAGACGATCCGAGGAACAGGATTCACCTAAAAATACTTTGTTAAATCTGCAGTAGTATGAAATAACTTCCTCACCATCGCTGAACACCAACTGTGGTCTACACAAGTACCAAAACCAATCATTGTCTGGAGACAACGTCAAGACTTTCACAGATACTGCCAAATAATTAAAAATATATACGTGCTACGTTACTGTTTTCTTGCGATTTGAGAAATTCAAACATGAATGTTAGTTGTACTTACAGTTTCAAAGTCTTCTTCTTTGAAGTGCTCTTTTACTTCCTCTGTGATTTTCTTCTTTGTCTGTTCAATGTCCAGCTGAAAAGAAGATACTGAACTTTAACAGTTGTTCTTCATACACACAAACTCGAAACGTAGACACAAGTTCTGCAAATACAGAATGTACCTACATCTTTGGTTCAGCATACAGGTTCTCTTAAGTGACGCATGCTTGAAGCATTGGTCTGATGTCTCTGTATGTCTCTGCCATATTCCTCAGCCACGATGGAATATTAATTTGGAGGTTCGAGTTAAAAAATCGCCTGTAATTTCATTTTACCTTGTAATAGAAACTGTGTGCGACATAAATGAAATATTGACAAATCGCAGCTTCCTCCCAAAATCATGTGTTGTACCATATCTAGCAACAGCACTATTTGTACGAAACTCTCACCACATCTTCCTCAGGTGATAGAATGCAATTGCCAACACACTTGTACAAGTCTCTTGACTGGAGTCTTTTCAGTATGCCTCTTGCTGTTTTCAGGTCTTCTGGGACTGGTTAACAGAAATTAGATTGTTTCGTAATAATTATATGACGTACACGAATTAGACACATAAGTGACAAGAACATCCACTGGTAATGTTACACATCCAGGCAACTTTTTGTTTAATGGTCCAGGAACTTTTGACTATTATCATAATTATTAACTACGGTCATGCACAATGGCGTGGATACAGACACATTATAAATGTCCACTATTACCATTACCCTTACTGCAGCATACTGGCGAACCATTACCCGGCCTTGAACAGCCTCTAACTTAGACGGGCTTCCTTTAGTATGACGTGAATTTTGGAATATGAACGGCTTCATCAGCAAGTCTGCTTGCATGCATGTCTTCCATGATATCGTTTGATTAAGTGCACTGTTTGTACGTGACCCTTTCCCGGTTACTTTCACCCCGTTATTCCGTTAAGATATCTAGCTGAGGTATTGAAACCGGCTGCCGTTTACAGTGAGTAACTAGGTTTCGTGTATGACTTCTTCAAGATGCTGTTCTCCATACACAAGTAGAAACCACCTTAGAACAAAGCCATTACTGGGGTCACGAACTGTACCCTGGTACATAGCAAGGTTTGAACGTCAACATTCATTCTTACATTGTTGAGAAGATGTCTTTAGGATAATAGTTTATTTATTTATTTTATTTATTTATTTATTTTTTTTTTTGGGGGGGGGGAGGTTGAGAGTTATTTTCCTTGGAAGCTAGAGACAAGTTTGTTGCCTTCAATAACGAAGCTTTGAAGAAACCTAAGTTCTTTTTATGCATCATTCTACCTCGTTAACGTCTACGTCACTGCGTAATCAAGTGAGATGGTGCACGCGCAGCCGATCGTTAGTGTTACGCAGCGCCCCGCGAACGTCAATACACGAGAAGTTAGCGCTCAACGTTTTCGCAGCAAACACTGCGTTTGCTGCTTTATTTACCACCTAACAACACTTTGGTGACTGTTGTTCTACACATAACACCTCACAGAGGTAGTTATTTAAAATGTCAATTACTGGTAACAACCAGAATTTACAGTCTCGTCAAACCAGGAGGTCGGCTGCTTGGCCGCCATGATGGCTGACGAACTTGGCTTGACTGAGAATCTCCTCAATGAGCAGCGATGAAGCCCTAAAATTGAGCCTAGTCATGCAAAAATCTCACTTTCTAATGTGACGAAGCCTGCGCGACATACCTCGTCTGTGCCAATAAATGAAATTGTTAAAGCACTAAAGTCTATGCAGGTGGCGATGGGCGAACAGCTCGAGTTGGATGCTGAGTCAATGACATGAACACTGCTTGAAAACAAGCCGAACAGCCATCGTGAAGTAACAATGACAGTCGCAACAAGTCGAACAATTACGCCAGACATGACAGAGTGCAAGTGACGAGTGTCTTGAAGGGAGTTGCGAGTCGAGTGACGACGCTGGAGCGCTCGTAAAATCTAGGACTCGAGCTGACGACGTTACCGTGAAAGCAAACAAATCTGACGTTCTTGCCGAACTGGATCAAGAGCTGGAATGTGTTCACACAGGACCAGATTTGAACGCCAGTGAGGCCCGTGTGATTAACCAACGATGGAACAGACGTCTTGATCAGAATTCTGAAGGATACAATGGACAAGTATATCCGACCAGGCAATACAGAGTTCACACGAACCCCTCTACCATATGTTCCCATATGGAAATCGTTATCATATAACCACAGGCACCAAGACATTCGCATGCAGAATACTCACAAGAATTGTGAATCAGTGGGCGCAAACCTGTCGTACTGTTTGAATGAGTTATATTCTAAACTCAAGCCAGAAGAAATAGACATGGACATGCTCATAACTAATCTAGCTGACGCTATGGCTATGTTGGGTATGGTCAAACATGATCTGTCTTTGAGGAGGAGAGGACTCATGAAACTTGCTCTGACTATAAATGTCTGTGCCATTCCGATCACCCTGTCACTGCTTTCCTATTTGAAGATGATCTTCAAAAGGAAATGAAGGACGTTATTGAAACTAACAAACTAGGCTCAAAACTTGCTAGGTCGCAGGACACGTCCAAGCCTCAGTACAAGGAAGACTACTCGTCCCACAACAGACAAGGGGATTTTCGCCGAGCTGGGAAACCCCCACACCGGAAATGGCCACAGAAGTTCCCACCAAAGATGGTCAACAATCAACAACATTAGACACGCCTGTTGATAAGGTCTGTGTTCTTAGAGTTCACAAAGATATTAGGGGTTTAAAATATTCTGTTGAAACAAATTTATCCAAATTTGAAGGTGGTCAACTTGCAAACCATGTTGATCCGCGGGAAATGTTGACAAATGACACAGAGATCTTTGACACAGTAACTGGCATGCATGTTGAGTTTGACGATGAACCATCAATGAATGGGAATCCACCAAATTTACGTTTCTCCAAATTTGAAGAAAGTGTCATTGAAACTAAAATCAAACTATTACTTTACAAAAAAGTTGTAATACAAACGGTTAGAGAGAAAGGTGATTTCATATCCAATATCTTTCTAAGAAAAAAGCGAGATGGAAGTAATTGCATGATTCTGAATTAGTAATTCTGAAGTATTATCACTTCAAAATGGAAACACTGCAGTCTGTATTGAAATAAATCACAAAAGATTGTTGGATGGCGTCAACTAATGTGAAAGATGCTTACTATTCCTGTCCAATTGCCAAAGAGCATCAGAAATACCTTAAATTTGAATGGAAAGAAAAATGTTATCATTTTGTTTGCTTCCCAAATGGTTTAGCATGTAGTCCAAGAAAATTAACAAAATTAATGAAGCCGCACATTTCAGGCAAAGAGGTCACTTGTCAACAGGTTACACTGATGACATGTACTTGCAAGGTTAATCTAAAAGTGACTGCATTGACAATGTCTTAGACATGCAGATATTTTAACAAAACTGGGGTTCTCGATACACTCAGAAAAACCATTGTTCCATCCAACACAAAGTATTGAAATTTTGGGATTTGTAACAGATTCTGTTAACATGACTGTTTAGTTAACTTGAGTGAAAGCAGAGCGTGTCAAGGTGGCATGTAAAAAACTGTTACTTAGATATAGAATTACTATCAGAGAGCTTTCAAAAGTTATTGGCTATCTCACTAGTAGCTTTCAGGGGGGTTATGTAAGGCCCCACTGTACTATAGGCAACTTGAAAAGTCTAAAACATTGTTTTTGAAGAGTAATTTAGGATGTTATGAAGCAAAACTGTCATCGGACTCCTGCTCTAGGAACGAACTTTAGTGGTGGCTTGACATTGTTATTCAGAGGAATGAGCCTGTACTTGCCATGTTTACCAACTCTAGCAAAATTGGTTGTTGAGCGGTCCTAGACTCTGTTAGAGCAGGTGATAGCTCGGTTGAGAGAAACCCCACCACGTCAATAACTTGGAACTTAAAGCATTGTTACTAGCATTGAAAGCGTTTCAGTCAGAATTGAAGAACAATCATGTTAGAATTTTGTCTGATAGTATGACAACTGTATCATGTTTCAACAATATGGGTACCTCTAATTCTACTGAATGTAATTCAGTTACAAACGAGATAAGTGAGTGGTGTATTGCAGCTAATATCTGGATAAGTCGTTGCCATATTGCAGGCAAGGATAATCAGCAAGCTGATAAAGAGTCAAGATAAATTAGAAAGCATACAGAATGGAAACTTACAGATGCTTTCTTCAGCTCTTGATATGCTAAATGTGTCTCCTAACATTGATATGTTTGCCACGAGAGACAATTACCAATTTGCCAAATACATGCCATTTAAGCCAGATCCAGGTTCATGCGCTGTTAATTGTCTTATTCATCCATGGAAATCCTCTTCACTGAAACCATATTGTTTTCTTCCCTTCAATGTGATACCACAGACTCTTCAGAAGTTTGAGAGAGAGTGGGTGATGGTGGTACCCAACTGGCAGACCAAAGTGTGGTATCCAGTCGTCATGAGGATATTGGTTGCACAACCCATCACTGCTTGCGGCACATCACTGCACCTACCATGTTACCCGGAGGATGTTCACCCTCTATACAAATCTCTCAGACTCCAAATCTGCATATTGTCAGGAGACAGCTCCAAAAGACTGGACGCTATCCAGCTTGTCCTCCGTGCTTGGAGAACCACAACTCAAAAACAGTATCAGACCTACCTCAAACACTGGGAAGTATTATATAATTCCGCAGGCCCCTTTCAACATTGGGGTAAACTTTCTTGCAGAAATTGCTCAGAACGTAGGGTACAGTCCTGTTAACACAGCCAGGAGTGTACTTTCGTCTGTAATAACCATGCCAGATGGTCCAGCCTTTGGTAAACACCCCATTGTGAAAAGACTATTGAAGGGGGTATTTGAATCTAAACCTGCATTACCAAGATATGGCCAGGTCTGGGATCTTAACATAGTACAGTTGAACTTCAAAGCATTTCCCTGGTATGACTCAATCTCACTCAAGCAACTGACACTTAAACTATGTTGTGTTATTAGCCATCTTAACTGGTCAGAGATGTCAAACCCTGCATTCACTGACTGTAGATTCATTGACATTCTGTGCGTAACAGTGTGATGTGTATATTCATAAACTCTTAAAGCAGTCAAGACCTGGGTTTCATCAGAAACCTATTGAGCTCAGGAAATATGAAGCATATTCTGGTTTGTTTGTTTAAAAATGTTTACGGTGTTACATTAATGTCACTGCAGCCATCAGGAAGGGGACTAGTGAGATATGTGTAAGTAATCAGAAACCGTTCAGACCTGTTATTAAGGACACTATTTCCAGATGGATTCGTCTGGTGCTGTCTGCATCGGGTGTGAATATAGAACTGTACGGAGCTCATAGCCTCGTGTAGGCTCACAGCACGGCGTGCCTTTGTCTACCATTCTGAACAGTGCAGGCTGGTGTAGTGACAGAACAGTTTTTCAATGTTCAGCTTGAACAGTCAAGTACTGGTGACTGTTTTGCAGGACGTTTGTTGTCAAGGTTTGAGCAGGCTCACTCATCCTTACAGTGTGGCAAAAATGACTTACAAGCTGAGTGTTATAAGTGTTGATGAACTGTTTTGTTTATAACACAATTAATACGTATGAAACAATTATCAAGGTATCTGAAGTAAACATTGTGAAGTGAACAGTGTTGTTTATTCAGTTATATGTTCATGGACACACTGCTTTAAAATCTCACTTGATTATGTAGTGACATAGAATTTAAGTATAAAGAATTTAAAAATTAAACGGGACTTACCTGTCTCGTTTAATTTGTACACTATATATATATCACTCTGTTATCGGATGGTGCATTCTTTTCGTGATATGTTACACGTATGTGTGAAAACTGAATGTATTGACAGGCATGTATTCCAGTAACAACAATACCATGTGCCTGATGATCACCGGTATCTTGCATTTGTTTGGGGGATTGACTTGTTTCCAGAGTTAAAGGAAGCTCCACGACTTGAAGGATGCTGTCATTCAGCTTGGAGTAGGCCACCATATCATCAATACATTGGGATATTTTTAGGCCTACACTGAAACAGAAATTGTAAGAAATTGCATATGTCTTGATTTTGTATTGTAGAACAATATCGTAGACGGTATCGTTGTCTATTCAATCATTTCTCAGTAAATTCTAATTCCAGTAGAGCCCAACATGCTTTTCCTTTTGGCGAACACCTGATTTTCATTGATCCTCTCATACAATATTCACCGGCTTCTACGCCCAGTGCATCCTGTATTGGCTTCTAAACCTTCTATCGGTGAATAATCGAGAATGCATATTCTCTGGCGCTGGCAGTTTACGTTTACCTTGTGTGTTGTATGTACTGGATCTGCCATGTTACAGGCCTGAGTACAAAAATCCAAACGTTTTATAGTAGATAGGTTGAGGACATTCCAATTTTTAACATGATGTCTTCCGCAATTGAAATTGTGCAGTTCGTCCCCATGTTGTTTTTCCGGTGCACAACTGACATGGGGAAATATACGCTCTTGTTTTCTCGAATATCTGATGTCATTACTATGAATCGGGAGCACATGGCCAAAATAGTAAGTTACACAGGTTTTTAGGGGCAGAGATTTCTTATTGGCAGGGTCACGGTTTGTCTCTTTTATTCAAGGAAGGTAAATATGACTTGTGCTTCCAGGTGGCACAGAAATTCATCTAAACGTGTTACTGCATTTCAGTTCTTTTTGTAATCTGGTTTTAGAAACTGATAATGAAACTTTATTTACCCATCCCTTCCCGGTATCCATACGATGTTGTCAACCTTCTGGAGTGTATCGACAATCCTGAAAATGCACAATCAGTATATTTAGAATACAGCTACGATTTATAAGGTTCTCCTGTTTTGCTTTTGAGAAACGAGTTAAATGCACAAACAGTTATATCGTGAGTGTGTATTCGATGAGGTCTCCTACGTTCTCGTTGTTTCATATAGTCTTTCAATACCGTAGAATGTGTAGCTGTACATACATGAGCTCCACTCCAATTTTAACTTCGTGCTGGTAGGCTCGTCGGTGTAACATCATCCGAGTGTGAAACATGTCGTACACGTTATTGGCCTCCTGCAGTCAACACAAATAGAAAATGCATCTGGTCACACGTTTAGATAACCTTGATGGCGTCTTTAAAGTAGGACTGCAGTTTGGAAGCCATTGTGCCAATACAGGGAGTATCCAATACTCTACCGATAGATGTAAGCCAAATGTACTGAAACATAATACAGACAGATTGAAGAAAAGACATTAACAAAGTTGAATATTTGAATTTGTGTACTCGATTTGATAAGTTGGCAGTAAGTATTAGTAATAATTACTGACACATAAAACTGCACATGCGTAGGGTAAATATGGAGTGTTGATGTGGAATCTCACTAATATGCATTGACAGTATTAATGACTGTGTTTACCAATTTTATCTGTCGAAATTTAGAAAGAGTAGATAAAATCACAGGCCCTCGTATCTTTGCGAGGATTGACTACAACCCCGTTTTGTGCGGACCTACCATCATCCATTTATGACTAGATTGTTCAGTTGAGGGTCCAAATCGGCATCAATCCACTTGCAGAAATATTAATAAAGAATTGGTAGGTGTAATGAGTGGTGATCGATAGGCCAATCATCGATGATTATGTTTATTTACATGAAAGAGGTTGGATACCGTGGTTTGTGCGCATACCCTATGTAGGAGCGAGTATTTATGTTATGCAGTTATTTCCCTTCATCTAGCTTCTAATCATTCTTCATGATAAAAAGCCACACACGCAATTATCCTGAGGTAAACCTGGGCAAGAGATATCTCCCCTAATCAAATTTAAGTTGGACATGCTGTTTTAGTTGGAGATAATGTTAATACCCTCCGGTAACAATTTTTTAAAATTTTTGAATATTAATCTAGTGTGAAATTACTGTATAAAAGTTAATTTTAAAAAAATCTTGTTATTATAAACATCTTTTTCCATTGATGAATGAATACATTCTTTTTAAATTCCTGTTTTTTTAGAAGTTAATTAATGTGTCAAATACTACATACTGCCCTGAAAATTGATTTTCCTGCTTTATTTCATTTCAATACTGAAATATCTTTGTGAAAAAAACATATTACTTTTTACAGACGGTGGCACCCGTGAAGAGCCACCTGCTCGTGGTGGGTGCTGGGTAAGAGCTCTTCAACCCCCTGTGTGGACCCGGGGGTATATTGGGTCCACCATTCTGTATGCCGCGGGTTGTGCCCCTGTGTCGGTGGAGGAAGGGAGTCTGGTGGTTGAGGGCACTGGTTCCAGGAACAGTGTTCCTTTGCCCAACACACCACTTTGCCCCTGACTTCACGGGTGGTTGAATGGGCCCGGTTCAACCAATCAGCTGGTCACGCCAAGCCTTGTGTTGCAACTACGTGATGCTCATAATTAATCAAAAATAACAATTTGACAGGCTTGGCCAACTATTTTGAACCAATGATTCCAAATGAGTATAATTTCATGTGTGTTTTTGCCTAGAGTCGTATGCCCAGAAGGCGGTGGCTCATGGGCCAATCAAGTGGGAAAATTAAACTTTTAGTTTTTCCGCTTGAGTATATCATCCGAGTATCCTTGGTGCTGCAAGTCGGAGATCCACTTGTTTTTGGCATTGTCCTAGTGATACTCCGTGGTGGATGGGGAGCTCGGATGATGAAATCTAAACACTTACCATGGCGTATGAGACCCCAACCAAAAAAAACAAACGTTCTCTTGAAAATGACCTTGTGGACAACGACCTCTGACTGCCAAAACCAATTGATTACTGGCCACGTTTTGTTGTCATTGAGACGAAAGATCTGACACCATTAAAGAATTGAACCCTTTTGCTGTGTCTAAGGGTATCCGGCGATTTGGAGCGCTGTTGATCGAGTGTGGTAAAAGACAACAGTCAACCAACCCATTGAACACCGAAAGTTTTGTCGGCATTCCTGTCACCGTCACGGCTCACAAGACCTTTAATACCAGCGAGGGAATTGTTAGAGATTGTGAGCGATTGCTGGCTGACATGTCGGAATTAGATATTGTCTCCGAGATGAAAGATCAGGGTGTACTCTATGTTAAACGCTTATCAACCCGTAAAAACGACATCGCCATTTAAAACCAACACGTATGTCTTTTCATTTTCTCTACCTAATGCACCAAAATCTCTGAAGGCAGGTTATTGTAACCTTAATGTTGAGACATACATTCCAAACCCTCTTAGGTGCTCCAAATGTCAACAGTGTGGCCACGGCGTAAATACTTGCACACTGTCTGTTGTGTGTGCTCACTGTGGTGAAAAGACACACACAACAGAAGACTGTCCACAAGAAAAAAAATGGTGATTTCCAAAAATATCCAATTTGGAAATATCATATTTCCAAAAAAATTCCAAAATTGGAAACATGATATTTCTAAGGCTTGGAAGATTTTTGAAATTTAGGAAGGATTTTACCACTACTTCTTTCAGTTTCTCCTTTTCCCAAGGATCCCCGTGAGTGTATAGACTGTGTATTCGTCCTCCTAGGAGTGTATTCGTCCTCCTATGCGATAAACTATTACCAGGGAAACTATAAGACGTTGTAGATTATTCCTGGTATAACTTCTCTCGTCTGCATCCTTGTTGTTCTAGGTGTCAAAAATTGACATGAACTGTCATATTTTTGCCCTGATATGGCTAGCATTTTCCAAAATACAGTTTTAAGTGTATGGTTTACTTATTATCCACAAAAGCGCAAATAGTTTTGACCTCTCACGGTTTGCATAAACACAAATTACATAGACCTACGTTACATCATTGATTAAATAAAAGTTTACCGGATCCACTGACTGACTGGCCAGGGTTTATTACATGTCATAAAAGTGAACCCTTGCCAGGGAATAATAGGCTTATTGTAGTAGAATACATTCTTTAATGGTACCCTCTAATTAACACCTGACACAAGGGATGGACCGTTTGGGTGGTTTATCATTGCGAAAGCAACAGTCAACAGACCATGAAATGTTGTTTTAAGACTGTAGGCGAATAGAGAGCAACCCGTTTGGGTTTGTGGTCAGAGGCGGTGTTATGCAGTTGGTGTATTCACGAAATATCATGAACTTAATAATAGATAATTGGTTATATTGTCCACACACAGGCGGACTGGGGCAAAAAGAACCCAAATGAATTCCTTCTTAAAAACTTCATAGTGTAACTAATTAATTTGGTCATATAAAAGGTGACTATGTTTAATTTTAGATAACGTTAAATAATTTCTAGAGAAATCACTACACAAGTTCATATCACAGATGATTCCAGAGACAAATAGTTTATCAGATTCTAGTTTATGAAAAGCATTAAATTCCAAACAAGCCAATCTGTTCTCTAATGCTCAGGAATTATTACCACTTACATACCATAGTTTGAGATGTCGACTCAGGAAGCCGACCTTTCGATTCTTATAAGGCTCAGGACATTGACAAGGGGTACGTTTTAAAGTTTGGGTGTTATTTTAGCACATGGCTAATCTCATGTGACGTGTTATTACAAGCTGGTGGTTGATGGAAGTGAACACATCGCACACTGAAGCCGACCGTGTAAAACATGATCAAAACAATCATATGGTAAACACATTTAAAAGGGCACTGATCCAGAGCAATTTCTCTGGTTTTTGCTTTTGTTATTGCTTTTCTCCCCTGAGTACCCGGATGATATTCCAGTATTTTCGATTGGTTCGTGACCTTTGCTGCGCAACCCGCATGCGCAATTGATCGTATAGGTGTAGATTGATCAACAAAAATAAAATCTTTTTTACTCGATAATATTTCCATCATTTTGATTATAACAAATGAAAACAGTTTGAAGTTTAATCATCTGCCAGTGGTAAAAAATGTCAGGACTGAAAAATAACGAAGTCAATGTATGTCTATCCTAATTATTCTATTGCCATATTTGCATGTATTTTGAAACTTAATAAAAAGCATACGATTATACTTATAGCGTATTTATAACATGACTGTAATATCTAAACATTTTATAGAATGCCAACATGAATCATATTTCACACACACCCTAGGTATGACCTAGTGTATGTTGTCTGTCTCATTACGGCGAAAACAAATGATTCTGTTGAATGCTACCACAAACGAATAAAAACAAAATGCAAATATTAGAAATAAAACCGACTAAAGTCTGCAACAATGTCAGGTTATTACCTTATTCGAGGAATGTATCAATCAATATCCACATAGGTTTTGTCCCGATTTTGACAGCCTCAAATTTGATCCAGCCAGTTATCCCAATTTGGACAATGAACTTTGGTACACTTGTCAGCTCTTCTCGTGTCCGTTTTTTTACATTACTGGTAAGGATATAGGAACCAATAGAGCTTTGGTCTGGATGTGTATGCTGTTTGTCCCCTCTTCGGACAACAGTCCCATCTGCTGTTGTAATGACTGAGGCTGTTTTCAGGCACTGGCATCTCCATATAATGGTACCATTCCTGATGGTAGTTCGTCTCGTATTAGTTCGTATTAGTGTTGAAGAATTTTACTTGTTCTGTACTTCTCTCAGGTGATTGCATTAACATAACTACCCTTAATTGGTGCAGCTAGTTATCCCAGGTTTGAGAGCGAAACTTCACGAATCAGTGACCAAGATGCTGTCAAAAATGGGACACTACCTCCACATAAAGGAACAATATGCCATTGATCTGCAGCTGACAAAGAATCCTGTTCCATGTCAAGTGTCTTTAAACAGTCTAATACCCGAAAAAGGGATACATCGATTCAGTTTTCACATTGGTGTATAATCTCATTGGTCAACTAATTGCATGATGTCCGCCATTCTTTAAAAAGGTAATTTAATTAGCCAATAATGAGCATTTAATCCACTTGTGTTTTTCTTGGCTTGGTCATATCCTACCCCACCCTCCCCATCCACCCGTACCATTGTCTTGTTAATTAATATGGTCTGGTGATCCTCTTACAACTTGCCCGACTGGCAAAAGAGGTACAACCCCATCAACTTACTGGCGGTTAAGGAAGGATATTGAAGGAAAGTTTTTGTCTTTACACAGGTACAGGGTACATAACAGGGTGTAATCAGTATAGATTAGTAAATCTACATACATAAACACTACCTTTTGACAAATCCGCTGTGCAAGAAAAAAGTAATTAATCAATCAGCGTGCTATCGGTTAATCCTTTGATCAATGTTTATTTTGTATCTTCGCTGATAATTCGTCTTGCTGCAGTTCCATGAGCATATTACATAACATGTAATACATTTGTCATATCAGACCTTAATTCATAATGCAGAGTACATGTATTTACTCCAGACACAAGAAATGCGAAATGGAAACCTTTGGCGGCTAACCTGAGTGGTATTACCATCATACCTGTTCTAAATTCAGTAATTGACCATCAAGTGAATGATGACAAATAACATGTGTAGGTTTATACCACCAAACACGCGCTGGGTAGTTAATTGCCTGAAAAAAGTTATGGGCCGACACTGTTTGGAGGATACGAACGGAATTTCATTGTTGTATAAGAAATACATATAAGCATTGGATGTGTACTGAAGTTAAAATTGTATATACCTAAGTACATTTTCATTTGTCATAAATATAATATTTAATAGACATCATATGTTTACATGGCATGATTAAATATCGAGGTAAAAAAAACACAGAAATAAGATCAAATTGGAAAATTGGATCAGTCACTATGCCATCTATGCA